TCAAGTGATGAGTGATGCCAAGGTTGTTTGCATCAGTAGCTTCATCCCCAAAGCTGTGGGATGGTTAGGAGACCTTGCCTGGATACCACCAGTCAAGCGCAGTGTGGGGTAATGGGGATGGCAGGGGTTGTGGCTACTCATTACTGCATTCCTAGAGCCTCAAGACTCAAGCAGGGCTTTTCGCTGTTCCCAGTGCAGCACCGCAGGTAAAACAGAGAACGTACAGCAGTGTCTGTCATCCCAAGGCTGTGAGGCAGGAAGAGCATCTCTCCCATGTCATGCTGGGAGAACCCTGATGTAGGGGGTTCTTGGAATCTGTTTCTGGAGCTCTGGGACTCACGAAGGGGCTCTCCCACCTCACAGTGCACAGGTACGAGTATAGCTGGGACCTCGCAGCAGTGTCTGCCATTGTGAGCTGTGGTGTGTGGAAAGAAATATTTCCTAGATCATTGTGGGGGAGCACAGGCATTGTTGTGGCCAGCAACCAGTAGGCCGGGGCAGGACTTTTTCAGTCTGCATACACAGGTACAGGTGAATCCAAGATTTTACAGGGGTGACTACAGTCCCAAAATTGTGCTCTGAGAAGAAAGATCCTCCCCAGTTGCCATGATTTGAGTCAGCACAAGTAGAACCCAAACTGTAGGACCCTAAGGAAGCAGTCCCTGTCTTCCACTCAGGGAGGCTTTCACCAGCCCAAGGCCTCCTCCAGTGCCCATCACTCTCCTGCCACCCTTTCAGCCAAGATGGCATCTTAGCAGTGGCTCCTGTGGGGACGTCAGCTCCAGGACTTGGAGGAGGTCCAGAGCGAATACCTCCTTTGGAGCAGAGGAGTCATTTTAGATCAAATCACTGCACTGGGTATAAAACTTGTAAGTACCATAGGTTTCTCCTGCAGTTCAGGCTGCGAGCCCGCTACTATGGGGGTTATTGGTACTTTCTCAATTGCATATGCCTTCAGCAGCATCAGCTTCCTAGATCCTGGGCCAGGAAGCCTGGCTGAAGTTGCAAAGTTTGTGCTGTCTTCTAGTTTGCCTTTGCAATTCTCTGTGCTGTTTAGGGTGCCTGTCAGTTCTTTGTTGATTCCGGAGTTCCTCTTTCATTCTCTTTAAAAATACTTTGTCCTTTGCTGCCCTGACTCTTCTCTTCTGTCTCATGCAGCCAGAGTGTCTTAGAGTTTTAGGACCGGTGACTGCCAGGACCACAAGCCTGAGTCCCACCTACGCTCACTCAAATCATGAGAATTAGGGAAGCTCTTCCTCCTCGGAGCGCAACTTTGGCATTGTGCTCACACACTGGAAAGGATACTCCAAAGCAGCTATCTTGACTTGACTGCTATGTGAAACCATCTTAAACCAAGTCTCTGGGGCTGAGGGTGCATTTCTTTCTCAATCTACAAAGTTATAAGGCCTCACCTCCCTTTGTGATAAGCTTTTGCCAAGATATCTTTTTGTGCACACCTCTCTTCTCGCCTTCTGAGAGACTGAAAGTCAAAATTCTAAGTTCTGAATGGACTGACCCTTCCTTAACTCTTTTCACCTCTCACTAAACTGTTGCAGTGACAACCATTCCTTATGTCTCATTATGTCCTTTTGATTTTTCCAACTTCCATAACTCAAAGTTTAAAAAACAAATCCCATTAGAGATGACCCGAAAGTCTTCCTTTTCTCTAAAATGTTTAAAATCGGGTTAGACTGCCTTCCTCAAAACTTCCAAACTTTTTCAGTTCTCTTCAAAAGTAAAATGGTGTTAATTAATATTTACCATCCATAGGTTGTACACACAGATGTTTTTTCACATTTCTTCTGGAAAAAGATAGTATATAATGCATCATACTTCCAGAAAGATTTGTGACACTGAAAAGTTCAAAGTCTGAATAACCCAGTGTTCATAGGTTTCGGGGGATCTGCTTTATGGCAATTATCAAACCCTGTGCCAGATTAAATTCTACAACAGACAAGCATTTCATCTTTGTCTTAATTACTTTTCTCAGTATCCAACACCCACAAGTTAAAGAAGGAAAAATTTACCTGAGGTCATAGTTTATAGAGGTTTCAGACCATAATCACCTGGCTCCAAAGCAGAGCAGCATGGCAGAGGGGCGTCACAACCGGAAACATTTCGTGGCAAGCAGAAGGCAGGAAGCAGTGAGCAATAGCAGCAAGCCTACCTTCCCTATCTTCCTTTATACTACTCTATCCAGGTCATAAACCTATTCATTGGTGCCACCCATGCCCAGGGGGGAACTTCCATTATCCACACCTTGAACTACACTAAACCCACTTAGTTACCACACAGGACATTAGAAGTGACGATGCAAGGCTTCTGGTAGAGGTTGAAATGATCAAGTCATCTCAACACCCTGCAGTTTCCAATCTCAAAAGTTAGGGAACTGAACTAGCTCTCTACTTTTAAATCTGCTCTTAAAAACCTCGTAAAACTGGATGAACCGACCCACCACCAACTGAAAGGGAATCTCATTTTTTAAAGACAGCTTCTCACAACGTTCTTTTATTTGCTAGATGTGGAAGATATTGTGTCAGGCACCCCCTGATCACATTTAGCATTAAAAGCCTGAGTTTCTATTTAACATTCCTTGCATTTCACAGAATGAGGATCATCAGGAAGTGTTAGTTATCAGAATGAATATAAATTTGCTTGATTTTCCTTGACTTTTAACCATCAGTGATTTGGGAAATTTTCCACAATGGAACACTCATAATGTACCTACTAAAATTAATTAAGCAGCTCTGTATGTGCTACGGAACAATAGTATGGAACAATCTCCAAGACATACCTCAAATGTTTGTAAAAGGAGAGGTTCAGAACAATGCATAGAGTATTTGTATATTTGAGTGGACATTTACATATTTAGTTATAAAGTACGTCTGGTGAGGTATACAAAAACTGGGTATACAAAAATTTGGGAAATCACTGATGGTTAAAATTGGGAAAAGATGATACTGAGTTACCTGAGGCAATAAAAGGCAAACACTAAAAACCAAGAGAAATAATATATTGCATGGAAGCAATTTTAAAATATATTATACATTGTGTCCTCAAAGCAGTCAGTCTGTGTTCATTTCCCTGTTCCTAGTCTATTACTACCTTGTAGCCTTGAGAAAATCACTTCACTCAGTCTAAAACTTTGTTTCCTCCTCAGCAAAATGGAGATTAAAAATAACTTCTAGAACTTCAAGCAGAATTAATGGATATAATGCCTGGGAAACATTTATCAGGTGCCTGTCACGTCACAATTAATTGATAGGTGATAGGCTGATATTGCTTATGATGCAGTTACATAATCTTGCTCATCAAAGTTTGTCCTGTGACCAGTAGCATCAGTGTTACCTGGGAAGTCACAAGAAATTCAGTCTCAGGGTTCATTTTAGACCGCCCGCATCATAACCTGCACTTTAACAAGATCATAGAGTGATTCATGTGCACATATATGTTTGAAAAGTATTGAGGTGGAAAACAACCTGGACCTCAGCAGTTTGACAGAATTTATGTAGCAGTAAGCCAGGAAGCTGGGAGCACTGCTGGAGCAGAAGGTGATATTCTCTCCCTCTCTCTCTCTCTCTCTCTCTCTCTCTCTCTCTCATCATTCTAAGAACTTCTCTAATTGGGAGGTGTTCAGGCTGTCTGAATTTCACTGCGATATTCTTTCTCTAACTGAAGCTATCACTGTGAAAGACTTTTAAACACACTGTCATGTTTACCACTTAGAATAAGAGCATCATAATTCTGTTTTATTTTTCACATTTTTAATTATTCAGCTGTTTTATTTGACACTATTTGGGGAATTATTGCAAAACTTATGTCTAAAGTGTTTCTGATTAATGCATATTTAGGCAACTAAACAGATGTAGAATGGGTTGACTGCTTTGGTAAAATTAAACAGTGATGAAACATATATTTTCACAGAAATAATGACTCATATTTGTATAAATAATGACAGATCTATTTTCCAAATCATCTAGGAAAAAACTGACCAGGGGTTGACAGGCTTACCATGTATGTATGGCTTACTAGGCAGGTTATTTTCAAGTGCATTTTTATATTTGAATAAAATTATGTTAATTTATAGCATCTAATACCACGTTAAAATGAAAGAAGTGTAATTAGGCAAAAAATGTAGATGATACAGTATATTTTCAGGACATATCACAATTTTCAAACCTTCTTTGTAGTTCATGGAAAGTAGATGTATTTAATATAGTCTTCCACGGTGCCATAGTTATATAAGCTGTATCCTGAGATCCAAATTTAAGTGATTTTGAGTTGTACATTTCCTCCCACATTTTAGCATCCCCAAAACTGAAAATTATCTTACAATCGATGCCATATAACAATTTGATTAGTAGTATTTTTTTCTATTTTGCAACCAATGGGATCTTAGATTCAATTAAGTAGGAGTGTACAACCCCCAGTAAACTTAATCCTAGTCCACAGGGTAGCATAATGAGAAAACAAAATGGGACAAGAAGGAGATGTCATCCCCCACTAGTACTCAAGCAAGAAGAGAAGGTGGGTAAATAAAAAGTAATGAGATTAAATAAGAAAAGATTCCATAGATATGAATTTTCACACAGCTAGAGGGAAAATGAAGGAAGACGAGACAACATACAAGTGGAAATAAAGAATGGGAAGAATAAAAACGAAAGGGGAAGAATGAAGCATTAAATGGAAAATATGGCCAATATGCTCACTGTTATAATGATTGTTCCCTGAGTGTAGTGCACGGTAGTAAACATTCAACTTGCTGCTTCTTTTATCATTACCCACACTGCCCAGCAGAAGCCCTAGATGGTGGAATGGAGATTTTTTACAAACTTTCAGCAGGTGTTTTCTCTCCTTTAGCTTACGTAAGTGGGTGTGTAACTCTCCACAAACATGTATTCCCTGAAAATTCTTCTCTTTGGATGTGTCCTACTTTCAACTCAGTCTCAAATCACTGAAAAAGGAGTACATGATTGCTAAAACTTCTGTTTTTTTTTCAGGTGATATCAAGATTATCAAACAAATCTACAGTCTCACAGGTATGGATTTTTTTGGGGGTAGGAAATTAACCGTGGTCACTAAGTTGCATATTGTTATCTTCAAAGTAGTTGCTCTGATTACCAGATATAGGCATGTAAGACTGGTCAAACAAACACTAACTATTCCTTTCAATAGAAATTGGAAGTACAATTATC